CGGTTTTTCGACTCTATTTACCAAACAACGACTGTTTTATTCCTATGAATCGTGACAAATGTAGCACTTACCAGGCACCAATTGGTTCCTTCTTCTTACATTTCACAATAAAAGCCAGAGAGTATAGATTTCACATGAGACTTTTCTATTCAAACGTTAGTTCCCATTTATTCTGAGCCCTTGGTGAATAAAGGCTTACACAGACATTTCCACGTGGTATTCTGTTCTGCAAACAAACAGAGTGGAATACTAACGCTGCATGGACACATTGAGACTTTCTGCCTGGAGGCTGAGGGAGTAGGGCATCTGGTCTCTTAGCGATAAGCATGTGTGTGTGTGTGTGTGTGTGTGTGTGTGTGTGTGTGTGTGTGTGTGTGTGTGTGTGTGTGTGTGTGTGTGTGTGTAAGGGAGCGTGTCTGCACGTATGCTGAAAAAGTAGCCCAGTCCGGTCAGCACTCATTAGGCAAAGAGAGAATCCCAGGATGAGCACTACGACAGGAAACTCTCTGGTTAGGGACGCACACGCACACGCGCACACACGCACACGCACACACACAGGGTCAGGCTGCCCTCGGTGCACAAAATCAGCCAAACATCAATTAGTGCATGGATGCATGCAATATAGCCTGCGAGTGCAGCGGCCCCGGCAACAGCTCCGTTCATGCCGGGCCTGCAGCGGAACGGAGAAGCCAGAGTCCCTCTGGGGGCGCAGCTTTTCGCCGCCGTGCACGAAACGACAGGTTCTTATCCGATAAAATCACTCTAATCTGATCAGAAATGTGTTGTTGTTGTTGTTTTTGCCACCGATCAGTTACATGTACAACATTTGGGCTGCAATTATAGTCTGAAGTGGGGGGGGGGGGTTCTATTTCTGGAATGATTGGCAGCCGCCTAGCGAGCAGATGTAACTGAGCGCGAGCCGGATGGAGACAGCAGGTGGAGGTCTTTGATCCGCGGGACGGGCTATTTGTTTTGCTCCGTGGCTGCTTATTAGAGGGGTTCTATGCAGATGCCGCTCATCTGCCAGGGAAGGGGCCCCCGCCGGGACGCGTCATCCTCGTGCGCGCGCCTCGCGTCGTCGTCGGAGCAGATGAGCGGCACCAGCAGGGCTACTAGCCGTTCATCGGCGATGTGGTTAACCGATCGACGCGTTGAGGAAACAGGTTCGCGGCGCCTCCGGGCGATGTGCGCCGCGCGTGCGCTCCGGACCGCGCGCTCGCACGTCATTAGCCGGGCACACGGCAGCGTGCCGCCCCGCTGAATTATGAACACCACTTTGAAGCTCGGATTAGGTCCCGGGCCGCTCGAGGGGGGCCGCCCCCGCATATCCATCGCCTGGTGCAAACGGGGGAGTTAATTAACTGATGGCGGTGCGGCACGCGGGGTGATGGAGTAGCTTTTGAATTATGGAACAGTGGCATCGCTGCGGCTGGTGGCGTCCGGCCATATGTCAGCGCGCGCCTCCCGCGTCTGCGGCTCGGGAGACAGCTGGTCAGATGGCGCGCGCTCAACCGAGTTAGGGGCCAATCAATCAGAAGCCTGTTGAGTTGTTTAAGTGGGGGGACGGATGGCGTCTACGGCGATTCCTGCGCTTTGTGGATTCGTTTGGCGGAGTTATGAAATCAGATATGTGAGAAAGTGGGACGTGGGGGTTTGATGGAAAGCGTTCTCTCCTCCGTCCTTCTGTGTTGGATTGTGGATATAGTACACACACATATGCTGTGGTTTATTGTTGATATCTAGAGAGCAGTGGTCAAATAAAGGACACATCATGAGAGATGTGCAGAATAGTCACATTTGCATGAATATCCCTTACAGGTCAGCATTGTTAAACTTCCTCTCAGATGACAAGCCGTAAAATATTTGTAAGAAGGAAATATTTTCCACTTGTGCCAATAAATCAGAATGAATGAAGAATCCCCAAAAAAATACTTTCCAGGGGAATTGAAAATAAATAAACTAAACTAAAAAACAAACTGAAAGGATGAAATGCTGTTTTTTTGGTGCAATAATATTTAATAGATTTTTGAGGGGTTCTCATGCTGTCTGTCTCTGGTTCCCAGGGACTCAGAAAGGCCTCTGAGGAGATCTAACTATCCTGTCATTGTAGATGTTCAGACAATGCATCACACATGCAGCGTGACTGTGGTTATGGGAAGGTGCCCGTCATTCTAATAAGACAGTTTCTATAAATAAAATCCTGTATTTTACGATAATATCCAAGGCGGTGCCTTTCTGCCCCGCGCAGCGTGAGCTTGATGGAGATTGCTGGCTATTGTCTCAGTCTCTGCTGGGCCAAAAATGATATGGTCACACTGATCAATAGTCTCTGTTACACATGATGCGTTTCCTGTGGCCCTGGCCGTCAGCTTCGCTCCATCTGTCCCCGCCTGTTGAATTTCTTTTGCAGTCTCTCTCAGTCTGACATGCACACACACACACACACACACACACACACACACACACACACACACACACACACACACACACACACACACACACACACACACACACTCGCTGTTTATTTAGAGCTGGGCTCCCTTGAGAACTATGCCCATTTAGGCACAAAACTGGACTGCCGTTACCTTTTGAACTGCTCCCCAGAAAAAATAAGTTTTTTTCCACAACAACTAGAGCGATTGTGTAATGACTAAATGCAATGCGGTCCCCCGTCTGCAGACAGCAAAGAAAACAAGGAAATAGCATTTGCAGAAAGAAAGAGACTTGATTGTTGGTAGAACATTGCTGGTCAGCTCAATAAGTTCAGCGGAAAAAAAGAAAGATGAAGAGATGCTCACCAGCCTGCCAACCACTACTATAAATACTCTAAAAGAACCCCTCTCATTAATTTCTATCGCTGATGGACCATGACATGAACAATTAGACTGGAACATCAATAGATTTCACACTTTGATGCAGATGCAGAATGCCAAAGTGGCGGTGAAACCTTGAAACAGACAGCAACATCTCGCGGATCACACTGCATTTGCTGTGTTGTCTAGTGAAATATCAATTCATACAAATTTGTCTCATTAACGCTTCATAATTGGCATTATCTGCTGCACCGTAGCTGTTAATGCTACCAAAAAGAGCTCTGCACAACCTCAGAGCAGCTCGAGGCACAATGCTGGACCATTTGTGGGCTATAAAACGGCAAAGTGAGGACAACTTAACGGTGGATGAACTACTTGGTTGCTCCTTAAACGAACGACGAATGGAAAAATTGTTCCCCAGATTTGTCAGCTGGGCACAATGTTTGCCACATAGCAGTTTGCAAAAATGCACAGTTTGACGATTATCGACCATATCTTCTACTTTTCATTGATTGACATGTTTGTACACTGATGAATAGTCCCTAAAGCAATGATCTACGAACTGCCAGCCCAAATCAAATTGACTAACTAACTAGAAAGTTGGGTGAGGGTTTCGATAACAACCATATGGCTCCTAATGATTCCATGCTGTCAGCATCATTTAAGATTATTATTGATTGCTGTCTAGTCTCCAGGAAGCTGCATTGACCTTAAAGTGCTGCTTTTGTTAAAGCCTCCATCCACAAGGAGTAAATAAACAGGATGTCGGTGAAATGTTTTCCTTTGACGCATAAACTCTGCATCAAGTTGTTTAATGTGTAATCAGTTTGGATTTGTTATTTAAATATTATTAAATTTACTTACAATCTATGAGAATGCTCCCGTTGATTCTCTATTAACTATTAATGCATCTGTGCAATTTGTAGACATTGAGAAATGTCCTAGTTAAATAGAAATAGGAGAAGCAACAATTTGCTTTTCTTCAGTCATGATTTATTGATCGGAGCTCTTTTTGCATTATATTGGCACATTAAATGTATTCAAAAGCGATCTATTCTAACTATAATTTAAGTCAGATTCACTACAAACAGGAGTAGGACCATACTTTTTGGTAGCAACTCCTCAAAGGTTTTGGATAACAGTGACGGAAAATGGAAAATTGGCAACTTCAGCTTTTAAAGGAAATATTTGAAATGAGAGGGCAACTGTTTAGAGAAATAAATATGTATGCCAATAAAAATGAATAAGTAAATAAGCAATAAACAACAACAACCCATTAAAAAAAAATAATTAAACATTGAATTTGACACAAGCGAACAGGAAATGCCAAAATGGTGACTAATTTCCTGTTGCACTGTATATAGGAAGTGGTTTCTACGGAAGCCGTGCAGTTACAAATGCACTGGAACAGGTAATCAGATACGACCAGCTAAATGAATAAAAGTCGCTAGAAGTAGCATACGGGTTTAATGGTTCACTGAGCGCACGGAAAGTCAGACTCACTGCCGGTTCAACAAAACAACCATAGCTGTGTGTCGTCTATCCTGTTTATATATATATATATGAATATATATATATATATATATGAATATATATATATATATATATTATATATATATATATATATATATATATATATATATATATATATATATAGGAATATTTGTGAATATGTAGTACTTGTATATTCATGGAGGTGTCTTAACAGCTTGCCTAACACCCTAACACCCCCCACTAACCCCGTTAACTGGATCACACACACACATCAAACACCTGCATCCACCCTTCTACATACATTCATTAGTTCTAAACCAGTTTGCTTGTTTTTGTCATCTATCCTTTTCTTACTCGGTCTTATTTTCACGTTCTTTGTGTTCCCGTACTTGTCTGCACGTATTTTGTACTCTTTAAAAAAGAAAAAAGAAGAAAAAACCCAGCTAAGGGACACATTGTGTTACACACTTTTTGGGATTGTTAACCTCAGTCCAATATATGAATTACCCTACTTCAGAAACCGTTACATATACTGAATCATATTGGCCCCATATCTAACAGGGACATAATAATTAGAGGTCTAATAATTAGAGAGTTAATGGTGTAAGTACAGAAAGTGTATATACTGTATGTCAACGGCACAGAGAAAAGTCACCCAAGTGAACAAATCCCCTCTGTGCGTCCATTGTGCAGGGTCTGCGTGGTGTCAGGAAGACTGAGCTGTGAGGAAAACAGCTCGCCCCAAGACCGTCTGGGCTCAGCAGGAAGCGCCGCCATATTTACTTCCAGGTCAACCTCAGACGTCATGTGGACCAGATGCCTGCTCTTCGTCTCAACCTTGTTTGCCCCCATCGCCATTGGTAAGAACCGGCACCACGTGCAGCACCAAATCAGATTCATGAAATTGATGTGGTTTGTCAGACGGCACTTTTTTTTGCTATCTTCATACACATGGGTTTGACAAAGTGTTTGGAACATGAATTATTTGTTATCATTGTTTTGTTATTTTCAATTCGACAGTTCGAAGAAAGATGCTAATTAGTGGCCAACCTGCGGTTTTGAGGTTTACTGATCACTGGCCGTACGTTAGCGCCGTGTGTGACACCCCGATCGCTCTGGAGCCAGACAGGATTTTGACTTGTTACAGTAGGAAAAAAAGCATAGGTGTAAATAAGACAATTAACAATGTCTGAAATTGTGATGTTGAGTTGTTTTCTTTCCAAAAACAATAGAAGAGACACGTGCATCTTTCTGATCCCCCACACTAGCAGAGAAAAACACATATTCTTTGTTCGGATTGACTTCCCTTTCCGCCCACACCTCAATTACTCTTGTTTACACGTATCTTCATGTATCATCTGATTGCACTGCGCATTCTCCAGCTATTCTAATTACCGTCTTACACACACACACACACACACACACATACACACACATACACATAGTGGCTGTCTGTATGTTTTCTCCTTTCCCCGTCACGGTGGGCTTTGAAGACTCCTACAGGGAGCTCTGGCCCACTTGGACTTAATCCTATTCATGGCTGCTGTCAATCACGCTGTGGTGGAGGAAAAACTGCCGCAACATTTGCGAACCCACCCACAGATGCAGACACACTCAAGCACCAGCGACATGCATGTGCACAGATGATGTACTGAAAGGCCTAAATACTGGACACCCTTGGAAACGCAGATACCCCTTAAAACTCAAGTACACGCGTACCCAGAATGTGCTCTCAGGCCGCATCGAGGGCTTTGCCTCGACGCAGGGAGATGAGTTTCAGTCAAAGGTATTTGCATCAATGTCTAAAGAATAAGTCAACACATGCAAATCGTGCCGTTCATACTTAGTGGGGATTAGTTGAAACAAAGAGGGTGTTGCTTGAGGACACAGAGCAGCTTCGTCTTTACCGCCAAACCGAATCTAGTCATCATTTCAGGGTCAGGGGGAGACAAATAAAACGGAACATTAAAGGAATTGTTTTTTACAAAAGTCACAGAAAAATCTGGTTGAACATTTCACATGGCTGCAATGTGAGGCTGTTGCCTTTTCATGGTATTCGTTGACAACAAACAAAAGAAAACAACACTTTCCTGCAGAGATGCAGATTTCAATTACCTCGGCCCGTCAGGATTTTTCAGGATCAAAATCCCTTTTCTTATGTCTATTTTTGCTGTCAGCACATCTTCAAAAAACTTTATTAAAGTTTCTTACTCAAGTGACGGTACTGTCTCAAGCGTGCAACTGCCAAAAAAACACATAAATATGCAACCGAGCCCATCGATTCAGTGCACCTTCTGTTTCCCAATTCTGTTCCAATATTCACTCTTGCCTTCCTACCTAAAGCATCTGGGACCTGTAGTTCTTTGCAGCTGTGACTCAAAGAGCAGTAAATTGTGTATTTAATGGGAGACTACTTGGAGCTGTGCAATGATACATTTACATCCTTGATAAAGAACCCCACTGACATTTATAGGAAACACTTCTGAAGTAGTTATTGAGGCATTTTATAGTCTTTTAGTCTGGTTCCTTTTTCAATGGTCCCAGGGGAGGAAGGTCCCCGACCCGAAGTACACCTCAGTCAAATTGGCCTGATTTGAGTGTGCAAATAGTTTTCTCATTAATCCAAAAAGCCGCCAGCAGGACCGTTGTGGATTACTTGTTTTTGGACCATACCAACAGTTCTGGTGAATAGCGCTTAAGCTGTAATTGACTACACAGACTGTATTTGATATCAACATGTTGCTTTAATTTTTTAGATTTTTTTATGGGATGGATGACAGCAAGAAAAAAATACATTAAAAAAAGTCATGCTTTCAAATATCTTCAAATATGTTATTTCAAAATTTCTTTTGTTCTAACTCCACATGACTGAACACCAGAGTTGTACCGAACTGCTCTGGCAGCCAGAGAGCGAGAGTTCCTTTTAAAATCTCCCCCCTTTCGTCTTCTCGTCCTTGTCCATCCATCCATCCAACCATCCATTCCTCCATCCATCCATCCATCCATTCCTCCATCCAACCATCCATTCCTCCATCCATCCATCCATCCATCCATTCCTCCATCCATCCATCCATTCCTCCATCCAACCATCCATTCCTCCATCCATCCATCCATCCACCTCCTTCGCCACTCGAAATGAAAAAAGAAATCAATTTCTTCACTTTCACTTTTAATTTCACCCCCTCCCACCGGGGCAACGAGTGTCCGAATGAGATGCCAAGTTTCTGTTGGCCGCGCCTACGCTTCTAATGACAGACAGGTTAACGCGCGCGGAGACAGAGGGGTAAACATTTTGCGGGTTTAGGCGCCAATATCGGAAGGTGCTGCGCGACCGCACCTGCTCGTTTGTGTCAGAAAGCAAATAAACGACAGCCGACGGTGCATTTTTTATAGGTGGTATAAAGCTGCGATAAACAGAATCAAGCGGTGACAGTCGACACAGTGCAGAGCATTTACTGCGGCTTATGAAGGCAAGAGTGGCTTTTAATGGGAATACAGCCCTCATTTGATGTGTGTGCCATAAGGCGCTCTCTATGTCCTGTAAGGAAACACTGTACGACATCTGATCCAAAGCCAGTCTAGACAGCCGCTGAACAATACTGCGTATTGATCCACTTGCGCTTCGTTTAACCCTCTCTTTCACATTGGTGCTCACGGAGGCGGACGTGACGTGGACACTGAGAAACTAATAAACTAACACTCGTATGAATGGAGTTATGACCCACCGCCCTAAGCGCTCCCACTCGCTCTCTCACACACACAAACTCCCTCAAATCTGCAGCCACCACTGAGACAAACACCCTGAGTGTGTGCTTAGAGTCTAATCACAGCCTGGAGTGATGTACGAGTGCTTGTCTGTGATACGCGTGTGTCCATTAGAAAGGACGTTTTCAGTAAATGTCACTTTTATATATCGGTCTTATCTCTAAGCAAGCGCCTGTCATTACCAATGTAGACCCCTCAGGTACCAGCGGCTAGCAGGCTGCTGCCTCCATATCATCACTCACAGCACTTGTGTGTGTGTGTGTGTGTGTGTGTGTTTTGGTGAAGTGCAGTATCAAAATAGAAGCTGGCCAGAGTGTCATTGAGCTCATTCCGATTCTTTGCCGCATCCTTGTAACCATGACGCTCCTCCAGCCAATGAGAGAGCCAAGGGGGAGGGAGGACAGCGTTGCTATGGTTATCCCGACAGGGAGAGCAAAGGGAGGTGATGGCGTGCATAGCTTCTCCGGGATGTTTGGAGGCCTTATGCGGTCTTCCGCACACGTGTGTGCGTGTATCGCTGTGTGTGTCTTGCACTTGTGCGTTGCGCCTGTTCTTTTAGGAAATCATTTGTAAAGGCTTTGACAGGATGAATTCTTCAATAAAAAGCAAAGTGACAGAACAACTAGCAGTCACACAGGCACACAGTCAAACTGCAGACTTAATATATTCTATTTGTTTATTCGACGGGGACAACGCATATCATGCATATTGCACTGGATATAGTTTAAATTGTCAGTCGTGGTCCTTGGGTAGAGGGAGCCTGAGACAATATGAGGTGAATGTGAAATGAAACAATAAAAATGACACTAGGGGATGAAAAGGCGAACAACACAAGTGAGCACCTCGGCCGATAACCGATCTATCTATCAAGGGATAACGGGCGGTGCTCCAAGGACTCGCCGCTCTCAGGAACAGAGAATAACAACATCCAGGCTTCACCACAACAACCCAAACCCCCGGGAGCATCCAGCCCGAGACCATCAACAGCACCGGCCCATAATAACAAGACTATATGGAGAGAGTTTGTCAATAAACACATTAATAAAAGGAGGATATACAAATATATGGTCGGTGCGAGTTCCATATATATATATATATATATGGCCAATATATACACATATATTTAATGTCTTTCTTTTTTGGTTTATTGCGTATGACCACAAGCCATATCAGGCTGTGACTCCAGAGACCAAAGTTGGAAAGTAGAAATAAATAAATGAGAGATATCCCGGAAGAACTAATAAAACCCTATGAGGAGTGGTCCTCCACAGAGACTGATATAATATAATTGGTTTGAAAGATCAACTGCAGGACCCAAAACAATAGATGATGCCAACATCCATGTATTCATTATTTTATTAAATAATTCAAACTACAAAGTTGTTAGAAATGTCGCTGCAACGACCACAGCTGCATTGGCCCGGAACTGGCCAACTCGCTCTCTCGTTACCGACGCGCCGCGAAGCTGCAAGTGGTCGTAGAAGATTATTTCATACCACCTTGCCAGAAACAAAACCTCCCCAAGCCGTCTGCCCCCAAACCAGCGGGCGCGATGCACTCATCAGCGTGGGCTCGGGTACCTCTGTTAGCCAAACACAGCGTCCTGAAAGGTAAGCGAAGTGGGAGGAGCCAGCAGGCAGTGACAAAGACAAAGTGCTTTGAGCATATGAGGCAGTATATATGACAGTCCCCGGCCGTCAGCATAGCTGTCCCAAATACTCTGCGACAGAATGTTAGATTAGCCGTGCGCAGACAGAACGGAGCAATCACTCAAGGATGTGATCACATGACCTTTCCGGCGGGGATAAAGGTACCACGCGTTCGTCTTCTTAAGCAAATACTCCAGATACAAAATTCCCTGGATTCGGGGTGTCAGGGTCTAGGTATTGTGTGCCGTGGGGCAAAATGTGTGTCAGCTGCTCCTTCACTGGCATGACAAGTTAAAAAAGCACTGAAAGAGTGACAGCGGCACCTGCTGCAGGTGGAGGCATCCCAGAAGCACTTATTATTTGTCTAGAGCTGCGCTTTGTGATTGCATTGCTTATTGTCTCGGGACTTTTAAGAGCACATGCCCGTTCACATCCCACGTCTCTGTGCACCACAGGTGAGAACCGTGGTGCAGAAGCTGCTGCCGCCTCGCTTTGTGAACATTGCCAGACATTCAGGTTATATCATATCTAGACGAGTCAATGGAAGCTTGATTGCCGTTTGGCCTTGCAGATGTTTCGTCATCTGAGAGCCTTCATGATCAAACAAGCAACGGAAGGAAATAAAGAAATAAGGGATCCAATCTCATTGGAGTAAAGGACACGTTAACTCTCCCTGCTTCAGTACAGTATAAGAGAGGACGTTTGCATCATTTGGAACGCCTAATAATAACGAGGCATCGGCATCTTTGGAATAATCTCTGCAGCACTAAATGCATGCTGGCAATTTGCTCTCTGCCCGGAGTGACGTCTTAAACCGCTAACTGCAAAACAGTAATTACCAAGTCGGCTCACTGGTGACAGTGGACGTGCCCTCATGAATATTTGTTCGTGGTATTGCTTTCATATAGTGTGGATAATTAGTATATATGACAAGGGTACAAATGCAGTCTTAGTGGAACACAATCTGTGCTTGTACAATTTAGTCCTCCAGTGCACATGTTTCCAAAGACAAACTGTGCAAATGGGGGTGCATCTCCCGTGGGCGGCGAGACGTCAAACGATTCCCCTGTGTGTGTGTGTGTGTGTGTGTGTGTGTGCAGGCTTCGGCCGCGCCCCGATCCCCATGGCGGTGGTGCGGAGGGAGCTGTCCTGCGAGTCCTACCCCATCGAGCTGCGCTGCCCGGGCACGGACGTCATCATGATCGAGAGCGCCAACTACGGCCGCACCGACGACAAGATCTGCGACTCCGACCCCGCCCAGATGGAGAACACCCGCTGCTACCTGCCCGACGCGTACAAAATCATGTCGCTCAGGTCAGTGCTATAACGTGTGTGTGTGTGTGTGTGTGAGAAAGCAAAGGGACTCGATGTGTGACCAAGTTGACGGCAAACAACAGGCGAGAAAGGACACCAACCAATTCATCTTCATCTCGTAAAGATAAAATACAATTGTCCAGGTACTAAAGAATCACAAACACAGACTCTGGATATGACAACCAAATGTCCTTAATCCAAGTCATTGACGTGGTTTGAGTCAGAGGGGAGGGGGAATGGGTGCGTTGGGAAGGGGGGGTGTAAGTCTGTGGGTAGGCAGTGAAGTCCAGTTCTGTTCCTTGGGTGTGTGTGGGTGTGTTTTGGGGTAAAAACAGGAGAAGCCTGGATGCTTCTCAGTGGAGACTTAGCTTGATGATCCAATGGAGGAAGGGAGATCCACCGTGGCATCAGGCGTCAGGCCGAGGCCGAACAGGTTCCCCCTGGAACCGTCCGCTCCCCGGGTCGCTCTCCTCAACGCCTCGTTGGCCACCGAGTTGATAAACTCAGCTGGTTATTTTTCATTGTGGCTCCAGTTGAGATTTACTTCAACTAATTCACGGCAACGCTTAAGGTGTCCAGAAACAAAACATTAACTTCTACGCCTTCTTTCCCTCCTCTCATCCCTGCTGCCTCTGTTAGGTGATCACCCCCTAACAGCTGCGCCCAATCTGAAGCCTTCTTTTCTTTCTGTCAGGTGGGGAAAAAGCTAATCTGCAGACTTTGTTCTGCTGCAGCGTAACCCCCCAAGCCCCCCGCCCCCTCTGTCCCTGGTCACACGGTGCAACCTGCACACAGCTGTAGAAACCTTATCGCACAATGACTCACGTCACAGCTGGCCGGTGTGATAGCGTGCTCTCCTCACTGGGACATTAGGAGCCAGCGAAGGCAGGAAGACGGCTCTGCAGAATGAGCGCCATGTCGCTGAACGGGGGGCTACAATACGTGACACCTTTTGGGTGTCCGTCAATAGTATGACAATCCCTGAGCGGGGCACCGGGTCGCTGTGAGATGCTAACAAAGTCATTGTTGAGATTGACGCAACATTGTGTGGTTGAACATTTGTGCTTTCATAAAAAAATGTACAAAATTTGATTTATTGTTAAATAATCATAAGCATTTTGGATATTTACATCTATATTTTTTCATACAGCAAAGCAAATTAAAATAAATGCATTCCACCAAGAGGGTACAGACCCAGACAAGAAGAGTCCTGAAAGTAATTTATTCCAGAAACCTATAATGTGCTCTAAGTAAGAGCCAATAAAGTGCTACCTAGTCCGGGTACAGAGGTGTGTTTTCAGTTTGCGTTGGATTGGCTAGAATAGGGTACAATGACTAAGTGGGTGAATTGAATTATACAGCTAGTAGAACAGTTCGGTAAGTTCAGAAAATGACTTTACAATGATGCGACCTTTAAAACCAGTAAAGCACAACACTTATTACAGTGATTAACGATATTCCTAAACTGGACTATGAGATGTATATGTGTCAATTTGTATTTATATATCTATAAACCATATGAATAGTGTTCATTTATTTAAAAAAATGCTGTAACAATGCTGTCTGATTGTGCCAAACGTAGATCAGATCTCCCTGCGCTCCGTTTGCTATTCTTCTTAATTACAGATTGTGCCTTTATCAAAAGGAGGCCGATCAATGTTTTAATTACGGCTTGATTGATTTGAAGGTTTATCTGGATAAACATTCAGCAATCACGTAATGCCTTTACACACCAGGGGCAATGTGATCAAATAACACAATAAATCACAAACTATTCGGGAGTTTGTGGTGACAGTGGCAGCACTTTTTCAACGCAATGTTTCAATAGGTTCAAGCAAGCAAAGGAAATGATGGGATCCTATTGGGCCAGAGCTGAATGGAGGAACTGCCCCATGTATTTCTGAGGTTGAAGCTAAAAGTTACTGCTAGCCACTTGCTGCTATTTACATAAATTTCCTTTTGGCGAAATGTCTGCGTATGTCTGGGGCTTTTATTGTGAAAGGCAAAATGGGGAGGAGTTTATCTGGTCCATACGGCCTTTTGTTCAGGTTGAACATATTTATTATACACTGTAGTGGAATATGTCCGTTCCACACAACGTGATGCCTTGCAGGCTTTTTTTTGAACTTTTGAAAGCTGAAAAATATGAAAATATACCTGATAAAAAACTTTGCTATAATAATGAGAAAGCAGCAATTAAAACTGTGAAACTCAAATCATTCGCCGCGCTGGTCTTTACACCGTGGTTGGTCCCCACCCTTAACAATACCCACAACGTTTGCGGTGCAGGTATGATGACGAGTGCCAAAAGAAAAATAATAGCGGGGACAAATATAGAGACGAGGGGAAAGCAATGCTCTGCGTAATGAGAAAGTCCGGATATAAATAATTCATCGACGTCACCATTAGTATCTCTATTTTTCACGCGTCATCCCACATTGAGTGCTCTCCTCCTGCTGTCGCATTATTTCCCCTCTCATCTCTTTCTTCCTCTCTTTATATTTATGTCCTTTCTCTCTCTCCACCCAACCACCTGTCTCTGTCGCCTGTATGCGCTCCGATAGCGATTGCTCTGGTCTGGCTCGGCCTGGCTCGGCCTGGCTCTCTGCTCGCTCCGCCAGCTGCAGCTTGTGTGGCCACCACTCTCCTGCGGCCTTTGCCATCCATAATTTATACACACACACACATACTCACAGCCTGCGCTACCCACAGCACACACTGCCCAGGGGCTACACCAGACTTTAAGCTCCAATTAGCAGAGCCAGAGGCCAGACTTAATCTTAAGGGATCCTCCGTCGAGGTGACTCAGACCGGTAGCAGCGGTTTATCACATATATTTTCCCTGTGTGTGTGTTTTGCAAGATGCTGCAAGTGAGCCAATGTGTGTGTGTGTGTGTGTGTGTGTGTGTGCCTACAGTGCTGCAGTGCACCGGCGCTGCATGCACGCACACGCTGAAATCTTTAGAGGGTGTTCTTGTTAATGTGCACCGGAGGCCGGGTGGAGGGTTTGTGCGATGGTGCGTGCGTGCATTTTTCCCGTCCTTCCTCTTCGTCAGTGTGCTTCGGCCCGACCTGCTTTCCATTCTCTGGTTCCCTTCTGGATGGTCTGTGCTTCTTTTCAGCTCCTGGCTCAACTGGCTGATAAAATCAGAGCATGTTTCGCCTGCCCAGTGTTTCCTTGGTATCACATTCTCCCTTTGTTTTCCTCTCCACCGCTCTCCAAGGCCACGGAGTATGTGTGTGTGTGTGTGTGTGTGTGTGTGTGTGTGTGTGCGCACGCCCAATACCACATAATTGGTCTTGATATCAAAGCCTCATATCTCCAGAGGGTCTCACAAGGCTTCCCAGGCAACCTACAGAGGACCCGATAGCGCTGCATTTCCCAGATTACCCCCCCATTGGGACACACTGGGTTGAAGGGGAAACGAAGCTGCGGCCATGAAAGTTCCGCTTAATCTGTTTTAGCGATATGCCGGCCCCAGTTGCCTCTGTTTTTATCGTGTTCTGAGCTGAGATTCAAAATGGCTACTGTGCATTCTTGGTCTTAAGGCTGCTCTTCTATGTTTCATCCTCTTTCTTTTTGAAGCAGCTGTATTCAACATTAATTGAGCAGCATATTTAAAGACCAATCTTTAGCAATGAGGAAGATACAGTAGAGTGATGTCTACCTGCCCAGAGAATGATTCCGTGAGGGGTTGTAAAAGAAAGTCAGATTGTATAGAAGTCTGCAATCCGACTGGGGTCGCTGTGATTGACAGGTCCCCACACGGCATCTCTACGTCCGAACATGATGACTTCCGTTTCACTGGTTGTAAAAGTACCTCCACTTTTTTACTATATGCTTGACGTTGAGAAGGAATTGAAATGGAAACGCTCCCGATCTCGGCTCAGGCGTCTTGGATAAGCAGATCGTACATGTGCTTTCAATCGCTCTTGTTTTATCAGGCCCAGTCGCTGCAGGCGAGGGTGGGGCTGGACCGAGCGCACACTAAAGGGTCACTTGGGGTACGATCCATTGTATACGATGAAGGGGGGCGGAGGGGGGGGGAGTGGATGGCTTCTACTTCTACGCGATGCTCCTCGACGGGCTCGTCGCTTCGACCTGAGCACTTGGTCTCGCTGGCCTTTCCGCGCATCCTCCCTCCATCTCACGTGTGCATTGGAGAACTTTGACAGACGCTCTCAGCGAATGAGCCAGTGCACACGACCCCCCCCCTCCCCCCCCCTTCCTCCCCCGACACCTCTCCCACCTTGTCCCCTCGATTGCCTTCTTTTTCTCTGCGGCTCCAGCTTCCCCTCCTCCTTCCCCCTGTGAAGACGTCCTTCAACACAAAAGGGAAGCCACATAGACAATAAAAGACAAGGGTGGAGAGTTGCCCCCCCCCTCCCCATGTCTTGCTTTTGGAAATGTTAAATTACATCTGTCATTCTCTTCATATATCTTTTATTTTGCCCCCCCCCCTCCATTCCCATTCCTCAGTGCTTCTCATGCTCTCTGTCACTTTCACTTTCCCCCACCATCTGGTTTTTATTTCATCAGCCCCTTTCCTTCCTCCCACCCTCCAGTCACTACTCCCCCCAAGCTCAGGGGGAAAGGTGACCCCCCCCTCCAAGCTCAGGGGGAAAGGTGACCCCCCCCAAGCTCAGGGCTGCAGCATGTTGCCTGCATGTTACAGCATGTTTTCTATACGATAGCATCGTCCTGACCAGATGCACAGCTGGTTGCTGGATTATATCCCACAAGCCTGAAGCCCCCCGCCCCCTCACCACCCCCCCCCCAGGCCAACATAGGTGCCTGATCGCTGCAAACACACAGCTATGCGGCTTCACCAGCGGACTCAGGGAGAAATTGAGAGAGTTGCTCATCAGCTCCTGAGCGCTCAGCTTCATCTCAGCGCGTCTCGTTGCAACCAAGTCTCAGTGTTCAGACAGCGACATGTGTGTGGACTGTGTGCGTGTGCACAGGCGCAGGCATTCACAGTGGAGGAATTTTGTGCCAG